GAGCAGGCAGGTGGGAGGAGTTAGCAACGCTCTGGCTGGAGAAGCCTTTAGGATACCGGGGAGGAGGGTTTGGATGGAGGAACTTCGGGAAAAGGAGCAAGCGGATATGGACAGCAGGGTAGGGTGGGTCTGATTCAAAGAGAACTCCCTGCTGCTTGGTAGCCATGCTGCATCTGTTTTGTGGCCATTGTTTCATTCAGCCTCTCATGCTCCCAGCTCAACCCCCCTTTCATCAGCTTGGAATTCATGCCCAAAACACAATTAAAAGGGAAGAATTTAAGCTTGTGATAAAGAAAAAAGCACTTTTCAAGCAGCCAAGTGCACGACTCTCTAAGCATGTGCCAGTTGGCTATTAATACAGAAATGTGTTGATTAGCTGAACTATTTATATGCTTTCAAAATTTCCAGACTATGCCCATCCTATTTTTGCTCAAAACTGAGGGGAAAAAACCCCAGCAATCCTGTTACTCTGGAAAGCCAAACCAGCAAATTGGGTTTAACACTTTAAGAGTTTGCTTTGCTTGTGCATCTCTCTGTACCACAAAGCAGGAGGCAAATTCTGAGTGTGACGGGGCCTACATTATTACTGCTTGGCACTATTCGGAGGAATGAAGTGCCTGGGAGTGAAATCCTGGCCCCATTGACATTGATGGCAAAAAGTATTTCACCTCAAATCTCTGGCCTGTGGTGATAACCTAAGAGCTCAGTGCTAAGTGAGAGGCAATCAAACAGCCATTAAAGTATTTTCATTGGCTTTAATGAGAATTGGATCAGCTGGAGAGAAATAACCTAAGCAGGGGAGAAGAAACAGAGTTCATGGGACCATACCCTCAGCTAGTGCCAATTGGCCTAGCTCCATTGGACATGCCCAGGAGTTTGCTTGCACTAGGGGGTGGGGCCTACCATCCCCTGCTGATGAAACTGAGGCTTCTACCCTAAAGCCATGTTCTCAGTACATCTGCTAGCGGTCCAGGGCAAGGGCCTCTGCACTGCAACCTGCCCACCCCACCTCCAACTAACACAGCTCCTCTAAGGGGCATGGCAGACCCTGGACCAGCCAGAAGGTACATGTCTCCCTCCTGCACGCTCACCCCCCATGTGTTGCTCTTCCTGTTCCAATCCCTCCATTTTAGCAATTTACCCCAGCTCTGAACTAATCTCTAGGACTTTGTTTCCTTCCCAGGACTAGGGTTGCCAATTTTGGTTGGATGTATTCTTCGAGGTTTCATCACACATGACAGACTTTAATTAAAGATTAATCTTTAATTCCTGGAGGGCTGGCAACCCTATCTGGGCCACCACCTCATCTATCCCAGGCCAGGCTGGGGCTTTCAGAGGGTGACAGGTTACCATGGCGATGGCAAGGGTTGCCCAGCAATGACTCAGGTGCTGGAGAAGTGAGCACGGGCACTGTGTACTGTGCACCAGGGCTGGGAGCCCAGGGAAGTCAGAGCTGAGTGTGGGGCAGCCAGCAGGGCATGAAGGCTAAAGGGAATGGGTGACAGGGGATGGATCACATGATGATTGCCTGTTCTGTTCATTCCCTCTGGGGCACCTGGCATTGGCCACTGTCAGAAGACAAGATACTGGGCTAGATGGACCTTTGGTCTGACTCAGTATGGCCATTCTTATGTTCACCCCACCTGTAGCTCTAGCCCCAAGTCATCTTAGTGCTAAACTGCCCTTCAGCCCCCAACTTTTATGAGAACCAAAGCAGAGCCATTTGTTTTAAAGGGATTTTTTTAAGTCAATGTCCCAGATTTTCAACATTCATGCCCATTTTTCTTGAATAGGCATTTGACTTAACTTACTGGACTATTACAATCAGTGAGGAGAGTGGGGTGGTTGGACGGGAGATTATGCCCCGTGGAGAGGTAATAAGTAAGATTTGTGGGGAGCCATTAAAAAAAGCCAAATCTTAACATTCCCTTCTCTTCCACTGTGACATTGGCCGACAGGGGGCACTGTCAGCATAAATTCAGAGTTTCCTACATTTCCTTGGCTGGAAACTGACAGAGGCAGGGATATGAAAAGCAACCTGCTAGTAGAGAGATGTCCCGATAGGGCCAGTCTGATGGGCTCCTAATATTTAAAGAGAGGGGTGGATGACATGCATCTTGCAGATGAAATTTCCCCTTTCAATACCCAAGTGCTTGCAGCATCACAGCTGAGAATATTTGAAGGGGCATCTCCCCCCAAAGCAGGGGGGTGGGGAAGCAACCTAGCTTTGTTTGCAGAGCAACCCACCCTGTGTAAGAACAAGCTACGAATTGCTTGAGGTTAATTGTTTATCCAGAAGCCCTCCGTGCTGTGTGTAGAACAGCATCTCCTGGCTGCACTGAACTCCACCCACCTGAATTTCACCAGATAATGGCGTTTCTCTCACCCAGCCCTAGCTCCTCTACTTAGCTACTGAGGAGGTCTGGGGGCTCATCCAACACTGGGCACATGTACTTCCGGGGGCAGGAGAAATGGACTCCATCTCATCAGCTTTTTCTAGTTCTGTTCTGATTCTGTGCTGACTACTACACTTCTCTGTGGCTCCTAGGGCTTTGCTGTGTTTACTGGTTGCTTTCAGCTCTTTTCTCCTCAGAGAATTATCTTTAAGACTTCAGAAGTCATATGTCTCTGTGCAAATCCCCTGTAACAAGGAGCAGAACGCCAGAGCTCCTTAACACACACAGATGCTTAAGCACATGGCTGGGCTTCCATGTCAGGCCCAGAGAAACTTGGACAAACTTCCTTTAGAGAGGGCTGGGAGATACCACTCTCAGGAGGAAGGGATGGTTAGCAGGGGCAAACTCTTTCACCACCTTAGGCAAAAGGACCTTCTAATGCAATGTATTGCTGGTAACATTTGCAACCACCTGAAGCCATGCTAGGGTATGGGGTAGTGTGAGATCAAGCCGTTCAGAACCAAGACAGCTTGTTTCACACAGGCATTGAGTGAATACAAATTCTTGCAGTTAAAGAGATTAAAAATAGCATCTGCACTGTTCCAGACAGCCACAATCAAGCTACTGTGAAAGCCAGCTCACATGGCTGATGCTAAATGCTATTATTAACCTGAATTCTATCCAACAGTATTGTAGGAAAGAGAAAAATCAGATTGAAGAGAATATAACCGTGTTACTACCTGCTGAGCTGTTCTGCACCCTTCCGGCCCACATTTATGCTTATACATGGTTTCCAATCTTCCACACAAACTACTATACCATGTAATTAAGGGAGGAAAAATGTAAAGGTCCATCTTTCCCCATGTACAAGATAGATTTTCATTTGTTGAACCACAAACAAGCCTCTAAATCAATATATGGATTTCCATCATGCAGTAAGCTTTCCGTGATGGGGACACGTTAGAGGAGGTAAGCAACACATTAAAGTTCACTTTTCTTCTGCTTCAGACTTTTTACTATATTAGCCCTCCCACCACCACTCTATCTGAGGTGCTTTGCGGAATAAAAAGCAACAGTGTTTTGTTCCCCAACACCAGGTACAAGAAGAAAAAAAAATCATCTCATTTGAGGACTCTGGTCCACAGAAAGGATTAAAAACCAGTAAGTTTGTTATTCATCCATTGGATTGAAACAAAGAATATTGAAAAAATTGAAAATTGCTTTTTTTTGCATTTCTCTCAGCTGGGACAAAGGAACTAAACTGCTGAGTTTCACTTCCCAATTCACATTGGTGCAGCTTGGATTCACAGTTCTGTGGGGGAATGTTCAACTTTTCAACTAAATAAAAACCACATGAACACTTTGTAGATGTTAAACCCATTTGAACAACAAAATAATCTAGTTTGGCGTAAATGAATGAGTGGTGACCTTCAAGTTCTCAAAAGTTTCCAAATTTAACCATTCCCAGGTTTCGTGATTACTTGTCAGGTATTTTGCTTACCCTTTGCCATTCCATTTAAGTAGGCACAAGATTCTTGGTGCCTCTTATAGGACTGGAGTTTGGTATTTAAAAATAGAGACCTAAAAGACAATTTTTCCAAAACCCAGGGGAGAGGTTGATTCCTTTACCTCCACCCAAAGCTACTTTCTAGCCAAACTTTTTGAATGGGTTCAAGATGGGTACCTGCCTGTAATGAAATCCAGGTCTCTCTGCTAATAAAGAGACAAAGACCAGGTGTTAAGGCATTCAATGGAGAGGTGGCTAGAATGGGAAATAAAATAGGCTCCTTGCTATGCATTTTGTCTTCATTTGGACTAAGATCAAATAGATACTGTGATGTCTTTCTGTTCCTCTTGGTATACAGATGCTATCAGGCCATTGAGTCAGAGTAAAGACCCATCTATCACTTCCTTTTTGAAATACAACTACCCCTGCATTAGGCATAGCCCAAGTCACAAATCTGAATCATGCACCAAAGTTTAGACTCTTGAAACGGTTCCATGTCATAGTACTTGTAACAGGTGGTTATGTACCAAAGCTAGGGCTCTGCCCTCACAGCTGGGCTGTAACTAAGACATACATGTGGTGATTTCGAGCTCCCCTCTCCCGCAACTCCTGATTTCACATAACCGTCAACGTGCCAAATGAAATAGCAAAGGGACTATGGCCCTGATCCTGAAAAATGCGGAGCACCTACAATTCCAACTGACTTGTTTCTCAGCATCAAGCCCTAAGTTACCTTTACTTTCCACTGAAATGAAAGCAGCCCCTTTACATCCACTATAGAGGTTATTGGCAAGGGTCAGGTGTCTCCCCACGCCACATGTGCCTTATGAACAGAGGGCTTTTTTAGGTGGCGGTTGCAAGGGGGTCAAAACCAGTACCCATCTCGTGCTGTTCTTCCCACCACCACCCCCATTACTGCAAGATCTCAAAAATTACACTGTGCACGAAACCAAACACCACACTTGAACACAACCGAGAAAGTGCTGTTCACAGTCACAGGAGGACATAAAACGGGCCATAAAAAGGGATAAGAGAACAGCCCAGCCTTATATAGACAGATTTCGCTGACTAGCCAAACACTGGACACAGAAACATGGTTTTTAAAGAAAAATAATATTTATTTGCAATATAAACAAAAGTCCCAATATTGGTTCAGTATATATATAGGGTCATTAATTTACCTTCATAACTCAGAAAGCAAAAACCATCCCTCGCTAACAAGCTCTCTCATTTGTATTAATCAGAGGATGTATCTTTTTCCTTTAAAGAAGACAGATCACTTACAGCACAGGAAGCCTTTATAAGCCAGCTTAGCTGTAATGCAATACAGATGCACTGTCTAAAAATCCCTGACCAAAAAAAAAAAAAAAAAAAAAAAAAAGTTACCTCCATGAGGTAAAATGCAATTAGGATATTTTCAATTTGCTCGCTCACTCTCAGCCATACTTATGTCCATTCTCCCTTCCCTGATGACCCACAATCCCAACATTGTTACAAAACAAAACAAACAGAAGACAACCAAACAAAAAAACAAAAACACTCCAACATTCTGGTAACATCTTTAAACAAAAAAAAGTCATGATGTGACAGCGTCGAATATTCCTCCGTATGGAGGGTTTTTTTTTCTTCTTTTTTTTTTGGAAAAAGAAAATACAAAAACCTGGATATTAGAAAAAAATTCCGTGGCTTTCTCTTTTTTGTTTTGTGTTAGTTACATGAGAGTTCCAGTGGATAAGGAGGTGGGGAGAAAGGAAGGACTACATTGCAGCCAATAAAAGAAACCTCCAGATCCATTCTGCCCTCCTCCCAGACGTTAGTACCACTTCTTCAGCATACGAGACCTTTGCCAAATGTTAGCCAGAAACATTAACAAGTCTTCTTGTTCTAGAAGGCACGGCAACAAGTTACTCAAAAAAGGAAACCCATCAGAACTCCGTTGAATGCTCTGAGAGTCTCGGAATTTGCCAGTTTTTACAACGTTCTGGTCATTATTTCACACATTTCCACTCCCCTTCCATGGTTTGCGCATGACTCCACAGCAGTGTCATGCTGCAAAAACTTTGCTCTGCTCTAGTCTTTTGGAGTACCAGTAGCACTCGATTCCCACCCCTGCACACATAAAAGAATTAAGTGTGCCAGATAAGTGCCAACATCACAAGTACTTTCTTTACTTCAGAAGCTGGAAGGATTTCAGGCCAGCTGGGTGACACCAATCATCGTTCGACCGACAGCAGAGAACGAGTGCTAGCCTCATATGCTTCTACCAACTCTGGAGGACACACCAGGTTTACCTCTGGCAACAGCAGACAGCGTTTTTTGGTGGTGGGGGAGCGGGGGTGGTATTTAAAAAAAGCTTGCAGCTTAGTCACCTTGGTTGATTCAGTGCAGAATTTGTGATTGTGAGTGTGGAAGTGGCAGAGAGGTTAAGACCAATTGGCCTTCACAAATAACAAAGCTTCCTACCAGATGCTAGCAACAACAGCAGCATGTGTCTCTCTTGGGGTGTACCCAGTAATATGCCAGGACGTCTCAAGGCTTCACAAAGTGTGCAAAATGCATTTGGTCAATATAAACATTTGATTAAAAAAAAATATATATCAAACAAGAACAGAGTAAAATACTGGTTTTGCAACCTCGTCTGTACAAACAGCCAGGAACTTACATATTTAAAACAAGTTGGAGCCCAAGACTCAGAGAGTAAGATTACCTTTTTAAAAAAAAAAGTAAACATGGGTTTTAAAATAGTCTTGGGCCAACATCTTTTGTTCAAGGTCGCCAAGTGCGTAAGTCTCCTCTACTTTCCACAACAACCTACCACGTAGGTAACTTTGTGTATGTTTGTGTGAGTGTGTGCGGTTCACCAGTCTCAACACACCCAGGAAAGCAGTTATTGCCGGTAACAGCTGCGCTCAGAACGCCACGAGATCCCCCATATTAAATAACCCCTGTAAAGAGACTACTCTTTGATCCACTTTGATTAGCATCAGGATACTAATAAATGGCCTTAGCCTTTTTAAAGCAGCGATCAGACACCTCTACTTGGAGAAACTAGTTCTTTCAAGGCTGCCTGGCAAGATACATACTTTTTTAATATTTGAAATGCTCAAGAGAAGCTATTCAAGGCTCGAGTTCCCAACCAAACAACATCCCCTTCATGTGGACTCCAAGGTGTTCAGCTGGAACAGGTTGTGATTGGTGGGTGTGGTGAAGTACAGTTGCTCGCTGGGGGAGCGGTTGTCGCATGGGCTGTTGAGCCCCAGAGTCCTCTCAAAGTCCAGGAGCTGGCCCATGAAATTAAAGTTCGGGGAGATATTTGACTTTTTCCTTTTCACAAAGTCATAGGCGTCATTCAGGGACAAGTTCATTTTTTGCATCAAGTAGGCAACGGTTACCGTTACAGACCTGCTGATGCCGGCTAGGCAGTGAACCAGGATACCACATTTCTTGGTACGGGCCTCATCTGAAACAAAGAGGGGGAAAAAGAAGGATACATTTAGACTTCTGTAGCAAAAATGCACTGTCCTGGAGCAGGGCTAGATGGCAGCTTCAGCCTTTTAGAACCAGGTCATTGCCAGCAATGGATCCACTGCTCCAACAGTTCAGAGTGATACTACGTAATTTAACTCCGCATATTTGCCTCCTCAAAAATCAGGCACCCTGACAATATACTCCAGCGATGCAATCAGTCATACTTAGCACTTCAGCTTCCCCATGCTTAACAAAGATTAATTAATTAAAGCTTACAACACCTCTGTGAGGTTAGTATTATTGCTTTCTATTTCATAAAGGGAGAAACCAGTGTGGTTAAGTCACTTGCCCAAGACCAGAGAGAGGCAGTGTCAGAGTTGAAATTCCAACTCCAGAGTTCCTGGCACCCAGACCTGCGTCACACCCCTCTCACAATTCATATCAATCAATCAGTGCTAAGATGGGGTTGTGAAGTCTAACCAGTCATGTGACCAGGCATGACATCAAAAATCAGCAAAACTGAGGTTTTTTTTTTTTTAAAGATATTTATTTTCTGAGTACTGTACTCAGAACTGATTCAAGTGAACTCTAAAATAGAGGAACTTAATTATCGTGATGTTGTTCTTTAGGTGTGGCGATTGGGGAAACAGACTTCCCTATAGCAAGATTTGTGCTAGAGTGAATCTATCAAGATACACGGTGGCAGAGGGAAAAGGGAAGATAATTTGTAGTAAAACTGCAATTTCTCTTAGCAACTGCTGCCACTGCTTGAAGAACACAGATGTATTGTCTCTTTCTCAGAGCCTGAACAGCAGGAACGGACATCATAGTATTGAGAGAGAGGAATGCCGCTGAGAACACTGCATACGTAAATATATACTGCAAAGTTTACTTCTGGGCAGAACAATGTTTCAAACCAGTCATTTGCCACAGAGCTTGGCTTTGAAGAATAAGGTACTATGAGAAAGGAAACCTCCAGTCCCACTCTACTCAAAGCCAGAGCTTAAAAAAAAAAAAGTACTCCAACCCTACAGACTGAGGGATGGGCAGAGAGGGGGAAAACAAAAATTAAAAACAAGCCTCAGGTTTGACTTCCTAGTCCCCATTACTGTGTGAGGAACTCCAAGACAAAAGGACACTAACTCTTCAGATTGCATTGCTGCTCCTGCAATTTCAGAATTTCGCTGAAGTGTGTGTGTCTTTCATCTGAGCAAAGCCCCATTTCTAAGTTTGGGTTTTATAGTAAGCGAGTGAGGTAATCCTCCATTTCCTGACATTAAAGACAAGAAACATGGATTGTCTGTTGCAGACAGAACCCAAATGCCACAGCTCATCAGGAACCCAATGCATCCACCAGGAAGGTGAAACAGCATCCCCACACCTTGCTAAACCTTTGGACTTTTGAGCAGAACTGTGCTATTAGAGAGTGGGAGAAAAAAAAATAGCAATGACATCTTGTTCCTCCAACATAGCTGCAAAGCAGCCATGGTCCTAACACTGTATTGTTCCATTTAAGGCCTCACAGTCAACATAGAAGCACCTAGGCCCCTTACAAAGCCTAAGGTATGAAGGCAAGGGGCTCATTTCATTTCCTAGAGATATCAAAGCTTTTTAATGGTTAAAGTGAGGACAGCTGCTTGTGCCATTCAATCCTAATAAAAGTCTAGTGTTAGTAGGCCAATGACTACCATCACTGAATAGCTGACATGCACACTGGAAGCACACATTTTATTCAGCCTGACAGTCATCTACCACAGAACAAAAAGCATTTCTGGATGTTAAAGCTATCCTGGGAAGGGATCTGTCCTGCAAGGACCTTTAATAAAAGTGTCTTAGGGCTTGTTTACACAGGGAAATTTACCAGTATAACTAGATCAGTATGATTGTATTGCTATTATTGTGTGTTATAACTCCATATTATACTGGAATACCAGTATAAGTATAACAGGATAATTACACCCGTATATTTCCCCCATGTAGACAAGTCCTCTGATTTTACCTCGGTAAGGATTAAGGCTCTCCCTACAGGTATGGAGAAAAGGCAACTGCAGACATCAGACAAACCACAGCATTTCTGGTCAGTCCTCATTTCACAAAATAAGAAGGTACCATGCTCCTGATTCTCCACTGCCTCGTATAGTCATTTTATACAGATGTGAATACTTATGTAAGGTGGGAGGCAGTGGAGAATCAGGCCCCATAGCTGAGATTGTTAAAAGTAATCAATTGTAGGGAACCCAACTTCAGATGCCTTAAAGGAAACTGGTTTGGTCAGCACCAGTACTGAAGATAAGGCACTTTCAAAAAGTACCTCAGATTGGACACTGAAAAGCAATTGATTTTGGGTGCCTCGATCTTGGCACGTGACTAACATCTGATCTGAGAAGTGCACAACTTTTATGTCCACGTACAGACAAGTGGCGACTGCTACAGCACGTAGCTTGCTGCATTCTCAAGTTGCAATTGCTAAAGGAATGTTCTGCCAACAGCGGAATTCCAACACCTACCAATGAAAGCGATGGCCTCAGGAAAGAACTGAGAGAGATTCTGGCTCCAGTGATCCGAGATGGGAATCTGTTTGTATTTAAACTCTCCGTTGTGCTCGAACATGTTTGGCAGGTTGGGAGTCACATTCAGGATGTACTTGATGCCGTATTTGCCCAAGACATCCAAGTTGGTAGAATCTTTGGCACAACCCAGATACAGGTAGGGTAGGATCTGGACAGGGAAGGCAGGCTGGTTGTTAGGGATTGGGCTCCCATCCGACTCTGTGGCGCTGCTTGGCTCCCTGTCAGACTCGCCGTCAGAGCAATCGGAGCTGATCCTTAGTCCTCCAAGGCCAAGGACAGATGCAGGAGGAGAGTTGCTGGGTGAGGAGCTGTCAAGGTTGGTCTCACAATGCTCAGAGTATTCGGTCTGAAATTTGTTAAAGCCACCTGGGGAAAAAAAGGCATGTTACTATTTAAAATGAGAGATTCTTGCATCAGTGAGTGGGTTAAACTAGGTAAAACACAACTTACTTTGGTCTTTGTTTCTCCCTAGTAAAAAGGCAGTGTAAATTCAGATCCCTGAAATGCAGATTATGGGCCCGATTGTACTAACCTTACTCCTGTAGAGTAGCACTTTACTCAGCAAACAGTCCCACTGAAGTAAATGGAACTACTGGTGTAGTAGGGTACATGAGTATGGGTAGCAGAATTACTAAGTAGGGGCTCAATCCACTTCCCATTTAAAAAAATCAATGGCAAGAGACTCATTGAATCTGAGCTGGCTTTCACCAGAGTCAAAGCTGGTAAATTTTAGTTTCCTAATAATTTAATACCTTTAAGTTCGTGGAGATGTAAATCTAAGTCTTTTTCCATTTGAGATGGCTCAGTCAAGAGCTACTGTGCTATTTAACATGTAAGTAAGCCACAAAAACCAGTCAAACAATTCAAACCCCAGCTACAAAAAATTTCACTTTAAAAACAGTTAAAATGACATGGGTTTTGCAGGGTAGATTGATTCCAACCTCTAAGCTGTACGGGACAGACACACTTTGCATTGGATCATTTCTTACTGCATTTTTTAAAATAAGAGAATCGTTTTATATAAAAATACAAACAAGAGACCGAGAGGATCCAAAATGCCAATTTCTCAGCAGCATTTCCTCTTCAGTGCCTCGGCTCAGCAGTCTGAGGAAGGGACGGAAAGTGGGGGGGGAGGGGGAAGGGGAGGGAAATCTACCTTCTTTTTAAGATATATTAAACAGGAGTTTAGCCATCATTCTCCAAAGCTGACAACGGGTGTCATTAGAAAGCCTCCTGGAAACTTTGTTAGTGGGTTTGGTGGTTGTGAGTGGGTCATTGAGTAGAACAGACAGCTCCTGCCACATCCATTCATGAAAACAGGGCTCTTTCTTCCCCTCTTCCTCCTCCCTTCCCCAATAGAGAAAGACAACATGGAGAAGCCATCTTGGAATTTTAATTGAAAACATTTCCCACTAAGGCCCTAGGAAAAAAAGGAGAGCAAGAGAAATCTAACTCCTCCCCTCCCCATTAAAGATGGCTTAAAAGTAACTTCAAAGCTGTCCTTCCTACTTATGGGAGAGAGGAGTTAAAAAAGCAAGTGACAGAGCTAATCAGATAACACTAAAGAGAGATGGGGGTAGGGAAGGGATTTCATCAGGAAGGGGAAGAGAACAGATCCACAATCAGATCAAGAGCCATGCCTGGAACATATCGGCAGGCAGGCAGGTTCCTTTATTTCACTTAGGAGTGGACCTAAATGCTAGAAAGAAGGAAATGCTCTATCCACAGATAATCCATTCCCCACCCCTCCCATGCACTCCAAAGAGCCTGATCATCTCCTTCCTCCCTCCCCCACATATCACTTGGCTCCTCTACGGGGGGGGGAGGGGGGAAGTGTGTTTTTAAATGGTTGAAAGTGGCAATTTTGCTTTTGCTTCACCTACCATTTCTGCCTCAACCCTGCCGCCCAGCGACCGCAATGGGATGTGCTTTGGGAAGAGAGGGTGTCTAACCAGGCCAGTGTTTTTGGGGGGTGCCTTTTGAGACATTTAGAGGAGGAAAGATAATAATTAACTAAGTGGGATATAAATCAAGATCTTAAGTATGAAGCTACAAGGAGTTGAGTTTTCATTCAGAGACTAAAAGCAAGGCACCCTCCCACTCCTACAGCATGAATCCAGGGGTGCAAATCTAGTGCTCTGAGATATCCCTAGGTGTACATCAATGGAGTGTGTGTCTCAGAGGCAAAGGGGGAAGGTATCAGTACAAGAAACATCCCCTCTTCCACAGAGGTTACTGGATCTAGGAATTTCAAGATGGAGAGGGCGAGCCAAGAACTGTTTTGATTGAAAATGAAGCTCTGACCACTCTAACTTTGTTTTGTGTTTTTTTTTTTTAAACACAAAATTAAGCTTTAGTCTATGGGGAAGAGAGTCAGATCTTCTTCTGGTTAAATGTCAACAGAGGGGCCCTGCCACTCCAGAATACCGGAGGTAGGCCTTTAAATATATTCTGAGGGCAAACTGTGTGTCCTCAAATGGTTTCAGAGGCACACATGAGAGCGGGGTTATTGTTTTCATGCCAAGGGTATCGCACCTCCACCCTTCTTCTCTGCTGGATAATAAAGTTCTGCTTTAGTGTGGCGAGTTTGGGGGGCTGCTCTAATTACTGCAGGTCAGTTCAGGACATAGGAGACTGCGCATGATCTGTGCCAATCTGAACTTTCCTTTGAGAGAGAAAAGAAGAAGAAAGATGCATCTATCTCCCTCCAGTAGGAATCAGATGTGGACTAAAGAAACGGATGAGGGGCAAATCTTTAAGGGTGGGGAAGGGAAAGGAATCTGCTAGGTTTTTACTTTCACCCTGTCCTGCTCTCTGGAGGGAGAGAGGGGAATCCCTCTGTTCTCTTATAGCCTCTGGACTGGAAGAAGAGGAGGGGTAAATTTGCTTCCCAGATGAGTTGCAAAGGAGGTGGTGGTTCCCCGCTTCCAAGACACAATTGCAAAACTCGGGGCGATCTGGCCAACATCTCCACTCCCCCAGCACACGGAACCATTTTGTGAAAAGATTAACAAGGGAGAAAAGATCCCAGGCAAAAGAAAAAGTGTATATGTCTTTCGCTCCGAGTCTGAAATCACATCCTACCTCGGCTCCCCCCTCCACACACAGGGGATTAAAAAAAGATAATCCTCGGGAGGGGGGGGGGGCGTCTTCTCCTCCGAAAGGTCTAGATTTCTCCTCAGAGAAAAGTCAGAGCCAATCGAGGGCATATGGGAGAGGGGAGACAAGACGGAAAAAGAAAACCCTAAAACAGGAAATCTGCCCTGGGGGGTACAAACTGCAAAGCACTTGGGGGGCTGGACAGAGTTTGGGTGGCCGCCAAAGGAAACACATCTGTGATCACATGTGGAGGGGGAGCTCTGAGGTCCGAGGAGGGAGGCAGATCGGGGGCTGGCGAGCTTAGGGGGGCGATCTGCGAGCCCCTTTTCGAGAAGGGAGGGGGGCTGGGATAGGGACCGATCCGCCCTTTTTACCTTTCAGGTAATACGCCTTGCACCCATCGTCCCGCAGCTTCTGTAGCAGCAGCCCCAGGACGGAGCTGGGGGCGCCGTTGTCCTGCTGCCACTCGGCTGTGGCCTCGTCATACAGCAGCACGGTGTCCGCCTTGCAGCGCTTGGCGAAGCGCTCCTTGTCCTCGTGGTTGGGGATGATGGAGCGGATGGGCAGGTTGCCCTTCTTGAGGCGGCGCAGCATGAGGCCCGGGATGGCCAGGTTGATGGCCGTCTCGATGTGTGAGGACTCGAAGAGCTCGTGGGGACGGCAGTCGAGCAGCAGCAGCGAGTTCCCCCCGCCGGACTCCAGCTCCTCCTGCAGCCACTCCACGCTCTTCCACGGCACCGCTGCCGCCATGGGAGCCCGGGGGGAGCTGCCCCACAGGTGATTTTTCATGAGGCTCGGAGGACTGGGGGCGCCCCCCAGGTCCGAGGAATGGAGCACACGGGCCGCCGCTGCCGCAAGGGAAAGGCCCCCTTCCCTCCCCCGGTCCACTCCCAGTGCACCACCGAGCCGCAGGCAGCGGGCGCCAGAGGGGCAGGCAGGGGAGGCGAGAGCGATCCCAGGGCTGCCAGACCCGCTCTCCTCCCTCCGGGGGAGCCCGCTCAAGCTGAGATGCCGCCTTCCACTTGCAGAAGCGGCGGGAGGGGGATCGCCTGGCTCCTGCCCGGGGAGGTAGACGCTTGCTGCGGATTGCTGGGCTGCCCTCTCCCTCTGGCAGCGTGGCCGCTATCGCTCCAGCCTGAAAGACGCTACCGCCGCGGTCGATTCGCTTCCTATCCTCGCGGGCTGGCTCCGCTGCCTGACAGCCTCAATTAAAAAGGGGCTTCGCCATCGGAGCGGCGTGTCATGCTCCGGGAGGCGGGACCGGGGAGGGAGCGAGCAGCCAAGAGGCCAGCCTTAAAGGGGACGCGGGGCTCTCCCTCACTTCCAGGCGCACATCTACCCAGCGGCCAATGCCTGGGAAATTGATTGCAAGTGCAGCCTGTCCCCAACCTGAAGGGTCGGATCCTCCCGCATTCTGGAAAACCACCCTCCCCCCCCCCCTTACCACCATGGCAACCGCATGGTTTTTTATTTTTTTTTAAATCTTAAACGAAGGAGAGCTGAGAGAGCACAGCGAACCCACTGGTTATTTTAGGTGAGGCATTTCCACACAGCTATACAATATTTCTGTGCATGAGCCTAGAGCAGCTAGTTGCCTGCATTCACTTCAGTGCGAACAAACTAGTACATGTCACAGGATGGAGACACGATCTTATTCCACCCGGTTTCTCCCGTTGTTCATCAATGGGAAGGTGCTGGGGTAAGGGCACCACTCGATCCTGGAATAAAACAGCGACAGACCAGTAGATCAGCCGTAGGAAAAATAGTGGATCTTAATAGTAGGTTTTCATCCTTAAATGGGTAGAGAAAAATAATCTGGCTTCTTTTACAAATGACAGGAGGAATGAATGGGCACCTACTTCAGTTGCTTTGGGTGACTTGAGTATATATATATATATATATATATATATCATAGCATCTCTCTTAAATACAGAATAGTGGAATCAGAAATAATTAAATAGATATTAGATTGCTGCACATCACCGGTTGTTCAGGCTCTTGTGACCATAATCTGGATGTTTTCACTCTCTCTACCGTAATAATCAGCCTCTGTCATGATCCTTGCACATTACTGCACCTTTCTCATTCTCTTGCGCACTCTCTAAACTGCTTAGAGCTAGGGCTGTTCCAAAACCCAGTCTCCCTTGTTCTCTAAAACCCATCACAGAGTTTGTGCTGCTCTAAACCTCTCCTGAGCTAACAAGACACAAGCAAGGGTAGCATACAGCACACACAAGTGATGCTCTGTAATATGACAGAGGCGAGTGAAGCAATCTCTATTTCGTGGCAGGATAGAGCGGAACTGATTTCCCTCTAGAAATTAGGTTTACACCAGTCTGACTTCAGTGGAGTCACTCCTGATTAACACCAGCGAGTGGAAAATCGGGTCCAACCCCCTACGATTGAGGGCTGGCATAGCCCAAGCTGGGCGGTATGTGAGCCTGGACGTCCCAATGGTACATACTCTCTGTGTTACAATCTGCACAACTCAACAAGGGGCTGGCTGCCACTGGTCGGTTCAGTTTATTCTGGCAGAAAGGACGCATTGTAACGTCCTTAAGGGGTTCGAAGCAGGAACCTCCTCGTGCATTATTGGTATCTGGATACAAAAATTAAACACATGGTTCAACTCCTCAAACAAACCGCTCCAACAGCGCTGAGACCACACAGCAACACGTCCCGGGCAGTGAGCGTGTCCGGGGCTGCTTGCTGGCCCTTTAAACAGCTTTACAAGCTGAGCCTCTGATTGACGGGCCCGCTGCTCCACGTGACTTTTCCGCTTGAAAAAAAAAGTCTCCCTCCTCCCCCCTCCCTTCCCGTTTGTTCGCGGCGCCAATGAGACGCTTCTGTGGGCGGTGATAGAACGCGAGAGGCCCTATCCGGGGGAAGAGGGGCGGGGCGTTTGGAACCTGGTGTATCAGGTTGCTAATTGCAAAGCGCGGGAAGGGGGCGGGCTCAGAGGAGGTTGAATGGAGACGCAGGTAGAGCTGTAACTGAATGTCGGGAGGCGCAGACGCAGGAGCCAGGGCTGTCATGCAATTGATCAAAGCAGCAGCAGGAGCCGTACCGGCGGTGTTACTACAAAGGGGCTTGTCATTTTCCTCTATTGTGAGGCCCCGTGCTCAGGGTTTAATACCCGTCCTGCTCAGGCTGAACATCCAGCACACACCAGTGGGAGGATTAGGACACTGGTGCTAGTGAGGCTGCTGGAGAGACCCAGGCACTGCAGCTACTGCTGGCTGGGCACATTCATTGAGCTGAGAACACTGCCAAGCAAACACGATTTCTCGTTATTACATTGTGTTAATCACGGACTCGACGTGCCACAAGAGTAAAGACAGATCCTGTCCCAAACAGCTTTAAATTCCCGTCCCTTTAAAAAAAATAGTCCTGTCCTGATCTCTTGTGCTCAGGCTAGTTTTTAAAAATTAACTGGTAAATTCTTAAAGTGAACAATAAAGATTCAGCTGACTCTCTAAAGTAATTCTGTTTTTAGGTGTAAAGAAACTCATCTATTCTAATTAAAAAAAAACAGGATGAAGTGTAGTTACAAACTAAAACATAACCCAGACTCATCTGAACTTCTAAATTCCCATTTATTTTCAGGTTAAATTAAAAAAAAGTTAGATGTGAATCCCTATACATATTTAGATTAGAAAGCTGTCTTGCTTTTCAGCATGCACTAGTATAAAAATGAGCCTTGCATACTGAAATATTGAACTTTCAAAATGTAAAAATAATTGGAAGAATTATCCTGTTTTGTGTCTTTTTTTTTTAATGGATGACTGTTCTGTTCCCTGCAGCTTCCAGCATTTGGTATAAAGTCTTCCGCTTACCCATCAGACATTACAAGTCTCTCCTTTTCAACATGTAGGAGTATTTTAAAAAACACATTGTTCTGTTTTCATACAGATCAGTTCTTCTCTCATAGTCAATTTCCAAACTCCCATTGACTTCAATGAGAGTAGGACAGACCTTCTAAACCTTGGATGGACATAATCTCTGGTGGCAGTAGTCTAATACTCTAAATTTTTCTAGCAAATAATGTGAAAGATAGGATTCTGTCTGAGCACAAGGGTCTGCCTGCATTGATCAGATTGCAGAGGCAGAGTCTATGTAGATCAATGAGGATCCACAGGAGGGTCATCTATGCAGAGGAGAGTGCAGGATCAGGGCCATATATGCAGGTTTGGAAGGATTAGATTTTTAGTCAGTAAATGCCAATTTCACTGTACTTACACAAGAGGACAAAAATATTCGCCATTGCTCATAATTGAAATGTACAGATCAGCAAAGAAAAATGCAACTTGAGAATGTACTAAAGTTTGATTTAAGGATATTTACTTTCTATATTTTGATATGTGATGTTGACAATTTGTGCTTTAATGGTTATAAAGCTTTAATTTTTTGACTCTCACTGTCTATTGACAATAAATAAATGTCTGAACCCCCTACAACTGTGAAAATTTTAAACTGTTAAAAAAAATTAAAAAGCTTTTTAAAACAATCAAATTTAGAAAAACCCCAAGTTCTGCCAAGCTTACATATCATAGAAAAATAACTGTAGTTTTAAAACACTGAACCTCATTCTTTATAAATGCTTAGATTTTAAAAGGTTTCAGAGATTTTAAAAGATACTCAACTCATTTGTTTTAAATTACATTTTAAAAATACACTTTTTATTCAGACTGGCAACAAACATCATGTTGTCTTTGAAAAGGTCTTGAAAGCACTCCAGATCAGGGTTTCCCAAAGTCAGGGCTTTTAACTGGAACCTTAGTTTAACCAGTGCCATTGTGGTACAGTAGTTGCTTACATATGCTGGAGATTTACAGTTTTCTGAGGCGCCCATTTGTCATTGATACTTTGTTCAAGACATACATTGGGTTGCTTTTAAGGAGGATTTTCTTTTCTTTTTGATTTAAATACAAAAAAACACCCTATCAAATGTGTTTCCCCTTTGGCTGATCTTTAAGAGCTTGAGTCCTGATTCAGCAAAGCACTTTAAGCACATGCTTAAAGTTAAGCATGTATATAGTCCCATTGCAAAACTCATTAAGTGGGGAACAAGAGCTATACATATAATCTATTGTTTTCAGCAGTAGTGGTGTCAACCCTTTGGGGGCCCTAAGCAGCAATATTCCCCTCCCCCCCACCCCCATCCCAATACTAAAACATGGAAGTTCATATGAAAATAAGTGAATGGGGGGGGGGCTTTTGCTGCTTGGGGCCCTAAACAATTGCTTAGTCCTCTTATGTGCAGCGCCAGCTCTGGGTATCAGTGAGTTAAAGGCCTAATAAAGAGGAAAAAAATATGGTAGTCTACTTCCCCTTGCCCCTGTGTATTTTTACTGTTGGCTATTGTGGGAAACGATTATGATTCAGTAAGGAGCGTTGCTGTAAGAAGTTACAAATATTGGTGTTACAGAACAGGATGTTTCAGTACTTACAAGCAACAGTGAAACTAACTTGTAAACTAGCTGACCTTTGAGTCCCTTCGATTCATAAATGAAACAGCAACGTCATACAAAGAAAGCATAGCTGTATCGAAAGCATTTGTTAAGTTAAAAAAAATATGACATCCAGAAATATCTGAGTGGACTGAGTGGACCTGATTCTCCATAATCTTGGGCAGTCATTGACAAAAGTGCAAAGCACTATCAAACTCCAACCACTTTGCATTGATGTTAATAACTAATGGGCAGGACAGTGGGGGATCTGGTCCATTGACTTTGGCCAAAGCTCACTTCTAGATGTTGCTTGGTATTTTTGGCCCTGTCTGTGCATTCGAATATTGAGAGATATGCCTGGGCCCAGTTCAAAAAGGCTTTAGCTGAGTATATAGTCATAGGTCAGAGTAAGAGGCAAGTACGGAGGCAATTGAGAAAGCACGAGCTTCCTTTTCTTCATTCCAAGAGCACCATCTTGCTCAGCTTCCTGTCCTTTTGGCAGGCTCACATTGAGTCATGGCCTCTCTCTGCCCGGGACTGCAAGGAGGCAGCTTTGTGCAAGTCTGTCTGAGTGCTGCCCCCATGAGTCAGTAATTAGGAAATGCTGAGTACATTGGTTTCTAGTGCATCAAGATAATCACCTCCTCCAACAGGGTGCTTTTCCACTGACTTGGGGGGGGGGGGGGGGAAATCACTGCTAGTCAGTGCAAATGTTATCAGTTAACACACACACACACACACACACACACACACACACACACACACACACACACACACAGAAAGAGGAACCCATGCTCTCTCTCATGTCCCCTTCTACCATGA